CCCCCCGCCCACACGCACCTCCCCCCAGCGCCCGTGCACCCCGCCCCCCATTGCCCCACACGCACCTCCCCCCGCCGCCCGTGCACCTCCCCCCACCCCCTACCGGTGCCGTGTCCTGCCCTTGCCCGCTGCTCGCAGGGGCCGGTCCCCGCCCCCGGGGGTGTCTCCGATGGAGGCCCCGGGCCCCGACGCTCCCTTACCCCGCTCTCCGCCGCCGCCAGTGCAGCCCCGGTCCCCGTCCCGGCTCCGTCCCCCAGCCCAGCGCCTCCGGCTCCGCAGCAGCGAGCGGGGCTCCGGCACGTGACAACGCCCCGCGCCCCCATAGGCTGGAGCTGCCGGGCAACGCGAGCCCGCCCCCTCTCTGCACCTGAGAGAGCGCCTTACGCCAACCACGTAGGGATGCCAGCCCCCACAACGCAAACTACTTAACAGCCGCCTCCCTGGCAGGCGAATGCCGCCTTGCAAAGTTGAGGTAAAGTCCTCTAGTTCCGAGAAGCAGGTGCCTTACCTGAGACCATCGCTCCTTGCGTGAACGGCGTAACCTCGCCTGCCGCCTGTCCCCTAGGATTTACGGAGATTCCGTAATTCTGCCGGTTAGGGAAGGCCGAGGCCGCACCTGAGACGGTTTCTTACGTAAACTCCGTAACTCCTCAAAGAGGTCAGTGTCTCTTACGGACTTTCCGTAAGGCTCCCGGCACTGGTGCCGTACCTGAGGGTGCTTTCCTTATGCAAACTCGCTAGCCGCCGCTAGCGTAGGTGATGCTGTGGTGCTTGCGTAACTTTCGTACCAGAGTTGGTGGAATCCCCTCCGCCCTTCCCTTGGGGGTGGGGAGGGAGTCAGTCAGGGGCTGGGGTGGGGGAAGTCAGGGGCGGCAGGTGGGGGTGGGGACAGGTGTGCAGGTAGGTGGGGGCAGGGGTTCTTCATCCTCACCTCAGACCCAGGGAGCTGTTACCACTTCCCCCCTAGAGCAGGAGGCAGAGCAGGCTCCCTTCATCCCCCCAGGCATTCTTGTCACCAAGTGAGCAAAAACCATGAGCCTGGCTTTAAAAAGGTACAACATTCAACATCAAAAACCTATAAATGTTGGGTTCTTCTTATTTGCTTTCTGTTTCGTGAGCAGGTCAGGGTCATATTTTCCAGCCTTTCCCCACCAACACAAGGGTTAATGACTTTTTGTTGACTTTTTGTCTTCCTTAATTAAAGCTTTGCAAATTTAACACCATTAATCTGGGCTTGAATAGGGACTGGGAGTGGCTGGCTCATTACAGATGCAGCTTTTCCTCTCCTGGAATTGATACCTCCTCATCTATTATTGGGAGTGGACTACATCCACCCTGATTGAATTAGCCCTGTCAAAACTGGTTCTCCACTTGCAAAGTAACTCCCTTCGCTCCATGTGTCAGTATATAATGCCTGCATCTGTAACTTTCACTCTATGCATCTGAAGAAGTGAGGTTTTTACCCACGAAAGCTTATGCCCCAATAAATCTGTTAGTCTTTAAGGTGCCACCAGACTCCTTGTTGTTTTAATTAAAGCTGGATTCACCCATAATCACTTGACTGCTAGAGCTGCAACTTTAAGGAAAAAAACCCAAATCATCAGACTCATGGTAAACACGGGAACCTAACCAATACAAAGTCACACTGTTGTGCACCAGCCCCTTCATGCAGTTGTCTGTGTACAAGCAATATTTTATAGACCGTTACATTTAAACGTAGAGAGGTGAAAGGGCTTGTCCAAAGCCACACAGTGAGTCAGTGGCAGAGTGAAGAATAAAACTCCCATCCCTCTGCTCCAATCACATGCTGCCTTTCTATGATTTATACCCAATAGATAAATCAATATCAAGTAAGAAAAGTATGTGCATTCAGAAGAGAGGCAACACTTCCAGATAAATCCTTCAGCAATTACTCATACACAGATTTCTAGATCAGGTCGTCTCCAGTCTGTATTTACTCTCATAAGGCTTTATAAGACTTTAGCATTTATTGCTCTCCAGTTCTTTCATTGGAATTCAAGACAAACCCCAGCATTCTCTTATTCAAGTCAACCTCTAGCTTTCCTGCAATAATTCTTCCTAACCCAGGTCATCTGTCCATTCTAGAACTTCATGGACAGAATGAACACTTGGGAGTTACCATGATCACTTCAGATGTAGAGCATCTCGATCAAATAACACTGATGTGTCCTTAAAGCTCTGCAAAAACTGTAAGTATGGGTTCTTTTGGGTGCCTGTTTGATGAAAACCATAGGTTTTTGCTTCAGTGGGATTACCATAGGTTTACCCCTAAAACATGAGGCAACCCTAGCCAATATTTTCAAATGAGTGCCTAAAGTTAAGTTCATAAACCTGTAATTTGGTACCTAAGTAAGATTTTTCTGAAGATGTAGGAACATCAGTCAGTGGAAATTGTCGGCACCAACTTTCAGGTGCTTACGTGTCTACACACCCAATTTTCAAGATGTTAGCCCATGGTAATAAACTATACTTGGTAAAAATTAAAGGTGACCACTTCTGGAATGGAAGGCATGAAAAGCCAGTCTGCACAGCATACCGCACCACATGGGCTGAGGAGATATTTGACTGAGAAGGACAATGTTTTACACTAGGTGCATGGAGCCCTTGAGCCCTAATCCTGAAAATATTTACAGATGTGCTTAATTTTATGCATTGTGAATAGTCCCATTGAGGTCAGTGGAAATAGTCACAGTGTGTAAAGTTAACCATGGGTGTAAGTCTTTGCAGAAGTGGGATCTAAGCCATCACCCGAGATTTATAGTTGGTTATACCTTTATAAGTCACCTCACGTTTCTGCCATGTAAACTGGGGACAACATTAGAATGTTTGTGGCTTAGAAGAAAAGTAATTACAAGAAATCTCTACCATTGCTTTAAAGTCTGGGGTGAAGATTTTCAAAGCAATGAAAAATATCTGGCTAAACTCCCTGTATTGCTTTAAAAATTTCAGCCTCTGCCTTTTCTAATTCTGTTTTGAGAAGGGACAAGAAAATTGTTGCTAGAAAATCAAGGACTGGTCCAAGGACTTGGTGTGAAGAGATGGTATTTTATTTGAAATTGATGATTGCAGATGAAGACGCAGCAGAAACTCAGATCAGGGAAAGGATATTGGAGGAGATAATGGAATGGAAGGGACAGCAAAAAGAGGGTGGAGTGATTGCACAGAGGAGCAAAAAATGTAGCAAAGAAAGAAAAATCTGCAGGAGACCGTCAATGTGTTTTAGAAAGTGGAGCTTTCACAGAGGTCAGAAAGAGAGATTTTCAGCTAGGATCTGAATTATATGTTCTATGAAATCTCACATTTTTCTGTTGAGTTGCTCTCCCTTGGGCTAGTGCTTTGCCAAGGGCAAAAGCATTGAGGAGAGGGGATTGATGGATTATTTTAGAATACAGGGGATTGCAAGAGCTTTGGTGCTGCAGTACAAGGTTATAAATGTAACAAGGGAAAGAACATCTGAGCTTTGAAAGAAGCCATTTAACATCTTTCTTTAGGGATCTGTGGGGAAAAAGGAAGAAAGTTGCATTTAAAGGTGTAAAGACATTCCAGTGGTGAGGATCTGAGTTACACTACAAGGAGTATTGGCATTAATGAGGGGTTATCATCTTGATACACGTTGAAAGATATAAACTTAACTCTTTTATTGGGGTAGTGTATTGGCATAATAGAGATTTTCTTGCATATGGGTGGCTATACTGGAAGCCATATGCATGCATCTCTGGGCAGAATTTATCTGAAAAGTATCATATAGGGCCTGAACCTGATTTCCTTGCGCATTCAAAAATCAGGGATTTCAGTGGGAATTTTGGGTGCCCAATAATAATACTTCTATAATGCTTTCCATGTTCAAAGCACTGTACAGACAATTAATCCTCCCAACACACTGGTAAGGTAAGTATTATTATTCCCATTTTACAGATGGTGAAACTGAGACAGAAAGGTGAAATGATTTGCCTAAAGCCATACCCAGAATAAGTTGCATAGCTAAGGATAGGCCCTCAACTCTGTGCTCATAACACCAGACCTCACTGTATACAAGGATGGGACATAGGTAATATGGACAGAATAAGAACTGTGATATCCTTGGAGTAACTAAATAAAGATTGAAATGTACCCGTGGCACGAACACAGCCAAATCTGAAGTGTAGGTATTACCTCTGAAGAAATAGAGTATATGAATTTAGTTTTGAACTTGGATTTGAATTGAAAAGGATAATGGGACTTCCAAAATGTGGAAACGTAAACATTCTAAAGTGTGTGTGGGGGGCGGTCCAATTAACTTTTTCTGAATATTCTGTTGTGCCTTGTTCTGTCTGTTTCTATCTCTTGGATTGTCAGATCCTCAAGGAAGGGACTGTCAGGTTTTTAGATTATTACTTAGGTTTTATACTGCAACAAGTATGTAATTGGAATCTAACCAATTATAACTAAGAGTAACACACAAATCTAAGATGCTAATGCAGGGAGAGAGGATCAAAGAAATAGTCTCAGGAGATTTTGGATGCTTACACAGATGTATTTTGAACAAGTGCATGTGTCTGTCTGAAGTTGCAGCAACACAGGAAGATTTCACTACATGGTTTTTAGGAGTAACCAAGCTCAAAGAATATTTTAGAAGTCCTAGGAAATGAGGCAGATATCATAAACAAAAACAACATTAATGAACACATCTAGTGACCATATCATATTTGAAGTTATCCTTGGAACATGTTTAAATGTAGTGTTTCAGAAGTGGTAATTAAAAACAACACACTCACTCACTCTCTCTCTCTCTCTCTCTCTCTCATTCACACTAAAAGTTAACATTAAATGGAAATTTAAATAAGTTGATTGGAACCAACTGCTACCTGGGGTGTGTGCAGAGGGGAATACGAGAGATTTAATATCAAAAAGGAGAGTAAGAGTCAGAAGAGTTAAAAGTGTAAATAAGTGTGAATTTTTTTAAAATGTAAAACTCAGAAATACAGATGGATGATTTATTACGAAATGATCAGATAATAATAGTTCCTGTATAATGCTGTACAGAATCCAACTGCTGTACAAACATTAACTAATGCTTGTGGTACTCCTGTAAGGCATATAAATATTATCACCATTTTATAGTTGTAGAATAGACACAAAGTGGGGTTCCAGAGTGAGTCTTGAGATTAGAACTCAGGAATTCCTGGCTCCCAACTTTGTGCTCAGATAATGCTGCTTCAAATAGTAAAGGACTGATAAAAGTTTAACAAAATGCATATTAGTGCAAAAAACACAAACCCTTAATAATGCAAAAATCTGAACAACTTTGTGTTTCTGTTCTTTGTCACTTTAGAAAACAGAGAACTAGACATTATGTCTAGTAGACATTCTAATTTACTTGGAAGTCTGGAACTTTTATTTCCTAAACTCACTAGCATAACAAAATGCATCAAACTATGCCCAAATCTTACTCATGTGAGTAGTCCCATTGAAAGCAGTGGACCTGATTTTGAACTTGTTGAATTCAATGGGACTACCTGCATGTGTAAGGCAATCAGCAGAGTTCAGCCTTGTGAGTTGGTTTGATTAGCCTAATGCAGAAGAAATGATTCCATACGCTGTATATCTGATGCAGAAATTCAACTACCAATAATAAGTAAAAGATAGAGACAGGGCAGCAGCTGGTGTATATGACCAATTTATGAAACCATTTTCATGAGGACCAGGAAATAACAAAAAGGCAGAGGATAGAAAAGGGGCTTTATAGTTGCTGCTTGTCACTGATTTTATGTTTGGAGGCAATGAACCAGACAGTGAAATCTGCAGTGAGGCAGCCCCAAGGGTCAGCATACAGTGTATGATATAACAACAGCTACAAATACTAAATGGCTATTAGCTATAATAAAGGGCGTGGGGGAAACACTAAGTGAGCAAGTATGATATGTAATCCATCAAATTTTAAGGGCTTGTTTGTGTTTATCTACAATGAGAAGATTCAAACAGAGTTTAGGAGAAGAGGCGTTTTTAATGTATTCTTCTTTATAAAAAAAGGAAACTCTATTTATGAGGCTGATACGTTGTCCAGTGACCCAGTTCTTTACAGATTCCAAGTTCTGCCTTCAGACTCTTGTACGCAATTCCCACTAAAGCTAATAGGATATGTATTGTATCTGAGGGCAGAGTTTGGTCCAGAGATTGAGTTAAAGTGCTGAAAGTACAATTCCAAATGGGGCTTTTTCAGGAAGATTATAAAGCCTGTGCCTAACTTTAAGCACGTGAGTAGTCCAGTAGACCTCACAAGGACCAGGAAATAACAGAAAGACCGAGGAAGGGAAAAAGGGCTTTGTTACATGCCATCTTGCTAAATTCAGGCCCCCAATTCAGGAAAATACGTAAGCATCTGCTTAACTTTAAGCATATGAATAATCCCATTGGCATTCCATAAATTTAAATGGGACTACTCATATGGTTAAAATAAGGCACGTGCTTAAATACCTTCCTGAACTGGAGCCTGCAATTAGAAAGATGGTAAGCCAAGTGCTCATATGCAAATGCAAAGATCTTGGAAGAAAATTTCAGTAAGGCATGACAGATCTACCTGTCTTTAATGACACAGTCAACAAAAAGTTGGTTGCAATAACAACACACTAGAAAATAATTTCTGAGGCAACTTTTCCAACTTATAACTCTTTTAAGTTATAGAAAAGTAGAACAAGATAAGTTTGGAGAAAGAAGTCACTAAGAAACCAAAGGGGAGGAAGAAAGCAAATGGGGACAGAAAAAGAATGTAGAAAGTACGTGAGTCAGATGTCGCCAGGCTTTATATAGAAAAGCCCCACAGAGAGCAGAAGGTGAAAAGTCACTAACTACAAGATTTGAAATAAAGGATTACAATATAAGCAGTCACAGAGAGCAGGGGAATAAGTGGAGGGTGGATGAAAGCTGCATTCAGGAAGAGAGAATATTAAAAAAAAAAAAAATCAGATGAACGGTCACCCCACAGAGTAGTAGAAACCAAAGGGATTGAAAATACAATTGCAAAACTATACTTAAAAACAAAAAGAAGAAGAAGAAGAAGAAGAAAAGGGGGGGGGGAGGAAAAATATAGAAGGAAACATTCTATCATTGGAGTGATTGGGGAAGAGGAAGCAGTGAGGATTCAGCAAATAAAGTTGGATTGAACTTTCTCTTCATATCAGTAGCTGTGTTCTTTCTAGAGGGCATAGAAAGA